CGATTACGAATTCCGATCGAAATCTTCCCGCAGAACGAATTCAACGTTAGGATGTATCTTTCCATCGGGTTCGAAATAGTTTCGCGGAAAATCGCTGGAATATTATGGGACACGACGCGTAACGGCCGTTCGCGGAACGATCGAATGTAACCGTCGGAAGAGAGACACGTTCAAACCCGACTCGTGTTTTCCGTTATCGAAAGTTTCGCCAGTGACGAAAGAAAGATTTCTCGATGGTTCTTCGTGGCTTGCTGGCACCGGCGGCGGCGCGATGGACACGAAATAAAACCTCGAAAAGGTAGAATGAACACGTTAATTGAGGTTTAACGAACTTCGAGCGGCGTTAAGAAAGAAAGGAGCGAGAACGTTCGCCCGGGGTGGGGGAAGAGGGCTCTAACGACCGTTCATCGAGACGTTTGAATTTTATTGGGGGGTTGAAGAGCGCGCGTGTATTCGAACTTTAATTAGACCTCGATGACCTCTCGTCGTCGTTTCAGCTTATTAATTTTGCACGCGCGATTAGTCGAATCGACGGCAATCGCGTGGTCACAATGGAAATATCGATAAGAGTCTCTCTTCGATGAAATTTCGATATCTACATTTTTTTTTTTAATTTATTTCTTTTTCTTCAGTTTGATTATTTTTTTCTGATTTTGTTCTGCGGAAAGAAAATAATCTAAAGTGTAATAAACTGTTTTCAGGGGCCAAGAGAATCAGACAACCGAACAGTTAGGATTATCGCGTTATGGGCCGCAAGTGATGAGCGTGTTGTGTTTATGCACCACTGTACACCAAAACGCTCAGAACAAGAACCAGGTTGGCAAAATACTTCCCAGCTTGCCACCGGTTTCATCCGAGGAAGAGAGGATAAACGTGTCGCAGGAAATATCCACCGACGAGCTGGATCTATTAGCTAAACTGGAGGAAGCCAATAGGTGAATAATCATGTTAATCGACCTATGTATTCGTCACTGCATGTGCAACTGAACCAGGCTTTAAATATATTGGCATCTTACATAGTATTTTATTTGTTATAGGCTCAAATTAATTAGAGATTCAATTGATGAATTACTTGCCGGATTGATAGAACTCTGTTCAGTAACTTACAGTAATGTCTACAATAGTCTTTTACCAGATAATTTCAGTGGTGACGTTCTGTAACGTACACCAGCATCCAAGATTTCTGAAAACTTGTAATTCTCTAATTGTTTTGAGTAGTGTGTGTATTCCTGTGTTCAGTTGGCTAAACAGCTTCCCGTTATTTTGCTATTGTAATTATTAATGAAAGCGAAGAACCTTGTAGCACGTACCAAGCAAAAGAATACATACAATTTACAATGATACTAATGTCTACTGCTAATTGTCTTGAGGATATTAATAGAGTATTGGGTTGTAATTTATGATGATACTACTGAATGTATTACTGTACCAGGGTATTGTTGATAAGAAAGAAATGTTTATAATTGTTAAGACCAAGTATCCCGTACGTTGCAACCCAACAGTTTGATGAAATAGATAAAACTTACATTAAGATAAAGGTTTCAATAGTTTGATGTAATTGATAACAGGCTTATCGAATCGGGTGCAAAGTCATTGAACTCGCTACAAAGCAATCACAGTAGGAAAGGTTCGGATACATCACAGGTGTCTGTGGCGTCGGGGGGCAGCGGAGGGAATGGCGATGCTGCGCCCCGACGCCACGCTACAGCTGATGGTGAAGAAAATACATGGACACTCTGGGGTAATATCGTCAGTGATTGGGATAATCATTGGAAGAAGAGGAAAGAGTTCGTCAAAGATTTAGTACGTCAAGGAATACCTTACCATTTTAGGTAATAAACATTTCAGAAAAGCTTAAATTATATATACATATATATATCTATAGGCACACTTTTCAAGTCGTCTTAGACGCTCGAATTGGTAAACTCTCGATCGGACACTGACTCATGTTCATAATTGCAGAGGTATTGTTTGGCAACTACTAAGTGGTGCTCACGACTCTCCTGTTAAAAAGCAATTTGCTGAATATATCAAGGCCACATCGGCATGCGAAAGGATAATCAGAAGGGATATAGCCAGAACATATCCTGAGCATGATTTCTTTAAGGAGAAAGATGGGCTTGGTCAGGAGAGTCTGTTTAACGTTATGAAAGCGTATAGTCTTCATGATCGTGAAGTGGGATATTGTCAAGGTTCGGGATTTATTGTAGGATTGCTCCTTATGCAGGTACACTTTAATACTTGACACGAGACAGGGGTTGTCGAACGATAAAAGGAAAAAAACGTTTAAAGAACGGAGACCCGATTACGTTGACACGGTTCAGAATTAAATAGGTATTCAATCTGTTGTTACAGCAAATGCCGGAGGAAGAAGCTTTCGCTGTACTGGTAGCGCTTATGCAAGAGTATCGTTTGCGAGACATGTTCAAGCCGAGTATGGCTGAATTAGGGGTGTGCATGTATCAGCTAGAACATTTAGTTGCTGACACGCATCCCGAGTTACACGCTCATTTTATGGCTCAAGGTTTTCATACCTCCATGTACGCATCGTCTTGGTTTCTTACGCTTTTCACCACAGCGCTGAGCCTACCGCTGGCCTGTCGCATTTTTGACGTGTTTCTGTCCGAAGGCATGGAAATTATTTTCAAAGTCGCGCTGGCCATGTTGCACATAGGCAAAGAAGATCTTTTAAGCTTGGATATGGAGGGCATGTTGAAGGTAATATCTGTTATCCAAACATACGTCGAAGTTGTATAAGTTACATATATAGTAGACACGGTCGTAGAAACACGATGATTAGACATTTTATTTCACTTACGTACGCGTCTATGCTTGTCCCTGATTGGCATGCCGACATTAATCACCGTTTTGGCATACAGTTTTTCCAGAAACAGTTACCCGGGAAAGCCGAGAATGACCCCGATGGTCTCATGAACCTCGCCTATAGCATGAAAATCAATCCCAAAAGGATGAAGAAGTTAGAGAAAGATTATACCGTTTTGAAAATGAAGGAACAAGAGGAGATGGTCGAACTCCGTAGGCTCAGAGCGGAAAACAGGTTACTGAGGCAAAGAACTGAACTTCTAGAGGCCGAGTCTGCGGAGCTTGCGGATAGATTAGTCAGGGGTCAGGTTTCTCGCGCGGAAGAAGAGGAGACTGCTTTCGTTGTACAAAGGGAATTGGCAGCTCTTCGGCACACGCATTTAGAGACCAGCCATCAGCTCGAGCAGGCGCACGAGGAGTTGAGATCGCTGTCGTTGCTGCTGGCGGAGAACGTCAATTCGAAACAGTCGTCGTTGGATGAAATTCTATCGAAGCAGGAAGCATTGTCGCAAAAGGAAGATATGATACAGTGCTTGCAGGAGGAATTAGTCAGAGTCCGATTGCACGAGGCGGAAAACGATGCAACAATAAGGGAGCTCAGAGCGAGAATACAGGAACTGGAGGAAGATAAAAAGACATTGCGCGAAACTACGCCGGATAATTCTGTTGCCCATTTGCAGGAGGAACTTATCGCTGTGAAGCTCAGAGAGGCAGAAGCTAATCTCTCTCTGAAGGTAATCCTTCTTCTTCTTTTTTTTTTATCCATCCTTGCATCTAGACAGATGAATGTCTTCTTTCAACGTAAATAATATAACAAAATTTTACATCAGTGTACTTAATAAATTGATGGTAATAAGTAGAAATTCCTTAGGATCTCCGTCAAAGAGTAATGGAATTAAGTGCAGCTTGGCAAAGGCATTTACAAGAGCATCGTTCGGCTCAAACAGCACCGGCTAGCGATTCCACGCCGAAGAAGCTTCTATTCTGGGAGAACAGGGGCCACGAAGTGCAGAAGTTCGAAGAAGATTTAATGACAACGAGGATCCGAGAAATGGAAGCGTTGACGGAGGTGAAGGAGCTCAGGCTGAAAGTCATGGAGCTCGAGACTCAAGTACAGGTCGCCACGAATCAGCTTCGCCGGCAGGACGAAGGGGGGAAGCAAGTCAAAGAGGAGCTAGAATCTGCCTTAGCTAGAGAAAAGGAGCTCACTGCCAAATTACGCGAGCAACAGCACAAGTATTCTGATCTGGAATCAAAGATGAAAGATGAAGCTATGATGGCCAGGATACGTGACGCGGAGCACGCGCAGCAAGTCGCTGAACTCACGCAGAAAATATCCATTCTTGAGTTAAAGGTATTGCCTTTCACGCGTTTTCTGATGTTCAAGCGTCGCGTTACGGGAGGACTCTAATTTCGTCTGCTTGTTACAGAATGAAGAGATGCACGCGGAGGGTGAACTTAGAAATAATTTAGACGACAGCGAGAGAGTAAGAGAACTGCAGGATAAAGTTGCAGAACTGAAAGCCGAGGTACGTGAAACTTTGAATCGCCATCCAAGTTGCATCAATGAAAGCATCGGTTTCTAAGGCAATTGCAGTAAGGGGTGAATAGAAATTAATTATACTGAAAAGTAAACGAACTCTTATTTATAAGAAAGTTTCTTTTCTCTTACATTCGTGCAGGTACTTTATACTTCTACAACTTTCTCAGTCACATGATTCGAAGTTGAACAAATTTATGGAATAAGAGATATTTATTCGATGCAAAGAATGCTTTCAATTATGCACAAGTATCATTATTTTCTCAGGTGTTTTTAATGGTTGGTGATACTCATCGAGTTAATGATGATTAATCGCTCCGTAAGTAATGCGAATTTACCATGAGATAGCGATAAGGAAAATTCACATTATTTACAGGATAACCTGATTAAAGTATTACGTTATCAGTATTGACGCTAGAAGTAATTGCGGTAGATCATGAAAACGTAGATTTATGATTATATCACAATAGCTTAAAATCTAAGTATTATTGAATTTGCTCTTTGGCTGCAAGTTAGTACATTTCGAGGCTTGTAGATTAACGTAATTACGAAGACTTTGTACACTTGGAATTAGCAGTAAATCTGATTGATGGCTCGATATAGGATCTTGATTTTCTATTTCCATTCCACCATATTCATATGACTCACGTACATTTGTTCACAGGATATGTATACAGTTGTTTTACAGCCTACAACAAATGCATTCGATATCTCTTCACTTCTGGGAAAATATTCCGTTATTAACAGTTTAATTAAAATCACGTTTCTTTTTATTTTCTTTATGTATCCATGATAATGCACTCGATATTTCTGCGATACTACGTTGTGATGTATCCACGTTATTATAAATACTTGTCTGTATTTTATTTGAAAGGCCATATATTTTCGGCGAATGAACAGTATTTTCGCTGTTTCTATTGCACCATTAATTCATGTTTTGATAACAGTTGAATCATCGATGTGTTACTAACATATGTTTTAACTAATTACCCTGAATCTATTAACCAACGAATAACGTTTAAAAAAACATGTATATAATCTATAAATATATATATATATATATATATTATTTTTGTTGTAACTGTGTTTATTAGATGCTCATTAATGCATCTAACGTTACAACGTGTAAATTAAATGAAATTATGATTTATGCTTTTGTATTATTGTGACTCACAAAATTGTTTTGCACAAATTGCACCTCTTACTGCAATGTCATGCTGTCACGCTGGAAAACAGTATTTTGTTGTTTAAATTAATTTCGATATTATGAAAAGTTTTCAAAATTTTTAAAGGAGAAATTTATTAATGAGATCCGTAATATGAGAAGCGAAGAAAAATTTTATTCTTTAAAAGACAGTTTTCATAATATTAATCTTTCCGTTGCTTCCAAGAATATTTTACTAATATTTCTAATGTTTGTTATGAACTGTTAAAATGCCGAACACAACACTGCCTTTTCTCATTTAACACATTGAACAACTGACTTGTTTTTCCAGAGGTACCTGTACACATTAAGAATTCATCGCGTTTCATCATGTACTTGTTTTGAACCATTCTTAATTTGTTTGTGTTCGTATAATTTATACAGATTACGACTCATTCAAATAAACAATTTACATATCAAAGCTTCGATGATAGGTTTGCATTCACAGCTTGCCATGTTTTTTGTGCAATGTAACATACAAAGTATAAATGTCAAGTTGCTTTACGTTTAATGTTAATTGTAATCTGTTCGATACCTGTTCATTGAATATCATTTCTGCACATACAAGGGTGTAACAATAATCTCTGTCTGAAATGAAAATGAATCTTATATCTTTGAGGGCATCAAAATAATATAAAAAGATATATTTTTTTGGACGAAATACTTATTCTTCGACTTATTGTATATTTAGTTTATTATTCTACATACTAAAATCACTGTAAGTTAAGCTTGCTATTTATTATATGGATTGAGCTTTAAGAACATTCTGTTAGATATTGAGAGTTAGCACAGCACGGAGTAACAATTAATTTCAATTTTATTAATGTAATTGCAATTTAATACCCTAACGAAGAGACATTAACAAGTATAGATAAAAGCTATACCTTCAAAGATATTACATTGAGCAAATTTGAATTGCAGTACATGTTATATAAATCACTACACAAGCAGAATTTAAAGGAAGAGACAATGGTGCAGTGTTATTTGAGCCTGAATATTTTTATAAACCGAATTCTTATTGTGTGAAGGTACCAAACACTAACACAAAGAAACTAATGGTGTTTGTAAAACTAACCCTCTATTGCTGTGTTATCTCTGTCTCCTTAGTTCCCTACGCCAATCACCAGCCCGGAGACTGAGCCTTGGCGCTGGCTCGAGTAAGTCTTTACCCATCTGTAAGCATTATTTTTATCCATTTCATATACGTAGCATGACATCAATGTGAAGTTTATCAAAGAAAAAACGTTTTTTCGGTGTGTAGTTTTGTATATGTTCATTATTACATTACTAAACTATTACAACATTGCATTAATCATGCCACTATAATTGTATATGAACTGTCTAATATAACTTTCCTAACTGATTCAATGTTGTGCTCAAAAAATCTTTAGAGCAGCTTCTTCCTGTGTTCAAACATAAATATTTTTCAACTGAAAATATTATTATACTTTGTGAATTATATACTCTACTGTCATTGTACATAACACAACTATAATCACACATAACATGTGTACATGAATACACTAATTTCATTGATGTTGGCTTCCAACTGAAATATTTCTCTTTTTGTATTATCACATCGTTATGTATCTAACAATACACCAATGGAATCTCCCTATTGCATTCAATATATATTTAATTTGCATGCTTCACTTAATCTTTTTGTTATGTATCAATCATCCTTTTTATTACAGATAATTCAAACATTTGTCTGTACAAAAAAAGGGGGACGTGTTCAGAATATTAGTGAGAGATTCTACTGATGCCTTTATTTATTAACATATTAATTACTAAATGACAACTAATGTATCGTTTAGTGCATGTCTTTCATCAAAATCTTCAGTTCAACATCCTAATCATTGAAATTCTTTTGTTCATAAAAATAATTATTTAATTTTGCTTTTAAGAAATCACAGCAACAACAGCTACATATCCTCTTGCTGCAACTGGTAGAACACCAGAATTATGGGAGCCTGTAACATTGTTCTTTTCCACTTCTTTGTGCAAATTGTCATACATGCAAGCTTGATAAGCATGATGATTCACTTTAATCATCCTATCAACCTTCAAATCTAATCATACATCTATCATGTTCAAAGCGAATAGATAGTAGTTTGATTGTTTAAGCAATATACCTTTTAGTTTTCAAATGATTGAAAGTCTGACAATCTTCATGAACATTCACAACAATGTTTAACCAGATCCCTTCATCGCCTCATATCTTCCACAATAAAAATAATTGATAAACCGTACAATTTGAATAGCATCGTATGAAGCAATTACATTAATTAGAATGTAGATAATTATTACTTTTTTAGGAAGCAGCATAAAGGATATTCTTTTCATTAATCCCTTAAGGTTTTGGATTACACTTCCCAAGTACAAAAATCAATCACGACTGAGTCCAACTCGAATTTTAATCTATTCTACCAAGTGGAACATGCCTGATCCTTCAGGGATTAAACAACAGCGTACACTGTGTACGAACTTTGCGCGAACCCGTTACAACAAACGCTATTATACCTCGTATGTGTGTCACAGGTCATGAGGCTAGAAAGCTGGAAGCAACGTTGGACAGGTCATGGTAGTCAAAATGTGAGAAGCTTCAGTGTTGACACTGAGAGCGAACTGGACGAGCGGGATCTCCGAATTTGTTTACAGGATCATATCAACGCGACTACACCGAACTCACCAGAGGTATAGAATTCCACGTATACCCAGACATTAGGCAGCTAATTATCGTTGAACGTAAGCACTTCATTGTCAGAGCCAAGTGGATTCTTTTTATTCGCAACCAATGCTTTCGCCGTAGAAAGAGAGAGAGAGAAAGAGAGAGAGAGAGAGAGAGAGAGAGAAAGAAAGAGTGAGAAAGAGAAAGCTAGATAAATAGATAGATAGTTAGATATATAGATAGATAGATAGACAGATAGGTAGAGGGAGAAAGACAGGGATAGAGACAAAGAAACACATGACGAATACGCACATAGTATAGGTATTCCTCGTATAGCGTGGCATATACCTATACAACGTGATCAACAAAATTAAGCTTTTCTTTTTCACATATTACAACGGCTCACTGGAAATCTGTGTATACGCATGTCCATTAAATTTAAATCTGTCTAACGGAAATTTATAGAAGGGGAAATACGCATGTATGTAGATAAATACATAAGTACGCGAAGTACACATACATACACACTTTTTGTGTAGTGCCAATTCAGCGTCTCGTGTAACGCGACAGCGCGTGATATTTGTAAAATTCAACCTCCACGTTGTACGAGGGTTACCTGTATATACGATCGAAGAACACATAGAGATAACGATTATTATGGTTTTAGTTACGTGTATAATCACTAGCCCGTGATGTATCAGCAGCATATAGCCATTATACTAGGTGTAATCTGGTGGTCATTGATAACGCAATATAAAATCATCTGACCGATTCGATTCCTCGTTGCAATCAGGCTTCGACGTGCTGCTGGGAATTCAAATGATGCTGTGAAACAATGTCCAAATTCTACGACGTTTAACGGTGGAATGAAAGAAATCATCAAAAGGTAGAAGTTTTCATCGACTTCTCTACTAGAGTTTCGCATTCTGTTTCTATATGGGATGGAACGGTTTCATCTCGAAGTCCGATTACAACCGAGGAATATATATAGATTAATATAATTATGTGACGCATACAACAGTTTTTATACGTATTACGCATTCTGTGTATTTTTTGTAATTTAAATCGAATGTAATTCCATTTAAGGAATTGTATATTGAATAGAGTGAACGTCCGTCGGACAGGGGATCTACGACTTAGAGTCGTCTTTTATCAGCTAAGGAAACGTGTCCTTTTCTTTTCGTGCCCGAAGCAAACGGGATCTTTACGTAGAGTCTCGTAAAAGAATTTGCAGTAGCGTGTGTTGCTCTGATTAATATACCACGAAGTACATACACATATATAGAGAAACGAAGAAAAAGAAAACAGAAAAAAAAGACGTGTGCTAACGGAAAAGCGGAGGAGACAACGCGTTCAAGAAGAATATTCTTATGTAGGTTACGCGGTTCACTTCCAAGGGAGAGAGGGAGAGACAGAGGGAGAGAGGGAGGAAAGGAAGGAAAAAGAAAACGTTGCTTTCAATGGTCCATGTCGATAGAATTCGTGCGCGAACGAACTTTTACTGTAATTCGAATTAGTCCCCGGTTTTCCACTATTGGCAGAGTATCTCAACGCGGTCGCTGCCAGCGTCATTTCTCAGCTGCAAATGAAATTAATCTTTTATTTTTTATTTACAGTTATAAGCAGTATATTCAGAAACTCATAACTCGTTCCAGTTTCATCTGTTTCACTTTGCTTAGATTCATTGGATAGAATAAAATATCGAGGTCTTCACCAAGAAACGCTGGTAGCGAACGTGTTAACGCTAAAACTACCGAGCACATCAATTGACTTTTGAAAATTTCGCTATAGAAACTCCGAGAGTGCATCTGTTCAGGCTTTAATGTACAATTCAATTTGCGTAGTGCTAAATGAATTTCTTCAATAATTTCTCAGAGAAACATTTGTTACCTAATAATTGCAAAAAGACATCAGGCATGGGTCATTTGACCCCTCTGGTAGTTTTAGTGTTAAGGGAGTGAGTGAAAGGGAAAGACAGAAAGAGAGAGAGAGAAAGAGCGTGTATGCGTGCGAGAGAGAAAGAGAGGCCGTTACGAAGGTTACATGAAAATTTTCTAATTGGATCTAGCAACTCCTGAACGATGGGGGTAAAGCGGTGTCCTTTAAATAAATTTACTAATTGCAGATTATTGAAACCGAAACCGAACGAGATAATCGGGAATACTTGTAAAAGTTCATACCCGGATAGCTCGTTCCCTTATAGCGACTTCCTAGGATGTGATAATTACTTCCAACGTAAGTAGTTGCGCAGATCAGCATCACTGCTTTGTTCTCGATCTTTCACTCTTCTCTATTTTCTTTTCTCATTCTTCTTTTCTTTTCCCTTCGTTCTACGAGTATACGTTTCTTGTTTTCCTTTCTTTTTTTTTATTTACAGCTTTACTTGACCCTTAACGATCCACACACACATACGCACACATACGCACACGCGATCCCACCACCTTCTAGGCGATCGAACGCAAAACACTCGTTAAGAGTCACAGTGCTAGATCACCTGTTCGCTTATCCGAGAAAGCGGGGCCAGCTGTCCGATAAGGGATGATTCCCTTTCTGTCTATGATAAACATTTCTGTTCGACACGCCGCTGTCCATTTTTTCCAGCTTTTGTTTTTAACGCGATCGAATGGCAGGCCTGGCCAGATAATCTCACACGGGACAACTCGAACGTTCAATTGTTCTCGTGTACCTTCGTCGCTTTCATTTTAGGAATAATTTATTGACAGGTGTATTTTAATCATTCGAATACGCATTTTAACCCTCTGTAGGCACATGTAACTTTGAAGTCACGTATCAGTATATCGGCATCTTGTTGATTTATTTCATTTTGCAGTCAAAGTGGCGAATAAAATGAGGCAATCGATTAACTGCAACTTTTATGCGCTCACGCGTGAAAGTTCGTCATTGTAACCTGAAAGTTACGAAATATATTTATTCGATGAAATTATGGAAACTATCGAGTACATTGTCAATTCGTATTCGTATGTGGATATTTATTAATTTTGTACTGCGCAGATTTTGTTATAATCGTTAAAAATTCGGCCCATAGAGGGTTGGAAACTTTTCACGTGGAACCGGTAATTGCCGAATAGGCGAATCATTTGGAAATTAGTTATTAGAGGAATTATATTACGTTTCCCTGCGTTAACGAAACTATCCAGTATTTTAATATTAATTTTTAACGAGTCTGTTTAACGACCAGGTCTGCCGAAGTAGAAAATAAATTCGTCCCTCGACGTATTCGTATTATAAACTGTTTGATTTGTGGAAAAAAAGAACTGAGATTAGAAAACTAATCGCTAAGTATTTATTAATGAAATCTAGAGATGTACAGTGAACAACGTTTTACCTTGACCGACTCACGACACACGACTCACAAGTTAACGCCACGAAGGCGAACACACGACTCCGCGTCGATATTCTTCCAGACATTCCAACTGAAAAATCATTCTCTCCCCCCAGAAGCATTCTTCTCGCTCGCACACTCTCAAGGAACTCTCGAACACACCCCCTAAAAACCCGAACACCATCAGCCCCCGGGCCCGCGACGTCGCGCGGGCCAAATTCTCTATAACCTGGCACAACTGTCCTTTTTCTCTTGTCCTTCGCTGACACTCATCCTCGCATTCACGCTTCTTAAACTAAACTAAACTACACTAAAAAACCTTAGATACTACAGTATAATACTAGCAAATAAATTAGGTATACCGTACCACAATGATTTTCATCAACGAATACTTCCTACGTGTAATTTGTCACGACAGTTTCTTTGATTGTACAATTCGTAGAAAGTAAGATTTGCGTCCTTTCATTTTCGAACACCCGAAGGGAGCAACGTCGAAGTAACCACTGTCCCCTGTTTGTATATGTGTATTTATTGTCAACTGTAATTATACATCGTTTTAGGTGTAACACACACTGATTTGCGTGCAGCTAACGAATCACGATTAAAAATTTCTTTCTCCTAATCGATCGAAACGAGTGCAATCCGAAATTCGTTGAACATTCATTCGAAGTGCGTTTCGCATCGTTAACACGTTTCGTGTCATCACCGCGAGCATCACGCGCGATTAATATTTTTAATAAATTATTGATGATTAGAGTTAATTATTTTCAATAGCCAAACAATCGTGTCAAGGAAGTAACGAATTTTTGTCGGCTCGAGGAACAGAGATTCTCGGTTTCACGGCGCAAAACGTGTTGAAGATCGCTCTTTTGAATAACAGAGGTATTAGTGTCGATCACGGAGGGTGGGAACGTTAAGGGTTGAACGAATGCGTCCACAGTTTTTCGCTTTGGCCTAACTTACCTCCGTATGATTTCCGTTTTCGCCGCGAACGATCGGCAAAATGCGTGTCAACGTCGAACGGTCGTCGTCATCGGAACGAACGTTCATTCGCACCGATCACCGGACTGTTCCACGGAAAAGTGAACTTTTCCGCTTCCGTGCACGATCATGGGGCAAGCATGTAACATCCATTCACGAGACAGTAGTCTGTTAATCGCAGCTCAGAAAGAAAAAGTGAAAAATTCAACGAAAAGTATGTCTCAGTATTTGGTAATCGGCTCTATTGGAAATACTTATTATATCACTTGAACGTGTGATTGTCTCTCACGTCGAATTTAATATTTGTCCACGTTATTTTTACCGTATTGGTAATTATTGTATATACTTGCTCGTACCGTGACCAGTCAAATAACTGCAAATCAAGGCTAAAGTTAGACGAACCAAAGGGAAGAGCAGCATTGTTCAGCGAAACGAAAAGGAACGACAGGATTTGAAATTTTGAAACCGATCATTCGACCGGTTCGCGGTACGGTTAGCGTTAATAGGTCAACGTGATAACAATATATATTTCCGGTAGCGTGCGAGAGACTTGTTAGGTTGTTGCATACGAAGCAACCGACTTCGCTAACTACGTAACGTAATTTATGTTGTGCGACCGCAGGTGTTGCTGCGAAATGAAAAATGAATTGCCGCGTTGCATTTCAATGTGCGATTGTTCTGCGCGTTAACGCTGGAGCGACCATTTCGAATTTCTTTTACGACCGTTCGAAAACATTTGAACGATTCTCAAGTAACGTTGACTTTAAATTTTAACTGAAATCTTGTGATTTTTGTGAAGAAAATTATATACGCCAGATTGAAACGTTACATTCGCACGAACACCTGCGACGACAGTGGCAATTGAGTAAACGAAATTGTAAACGATTGCGAGCACGTGTAAATACAGTGTGTGCCGAGACAAAGCTGCGCCGCACGATGTGCAACAATCTAACGGTGTCGAATCTTTTCAGATAAATCGGCGGCGATCGAACGCACGTTCATCTCTGATTACGAGGAGCAATAGGATAATATCGATACTGCCTGATATCATTCCGACTGGATTAAGTGCAATTACCCTCTTTTTTTCCCCTAGCTTCCGGCTAATCTCTAACGAAAAGTATTTAACGCTGTCTGTTGCATTTTATCGGCGACGTTTAATTTAGCTCAACGACTAACCGAGGTGACGAATCGATGCACGCGGAGGTTCAGCGTTGACCGCCACGAGAATTTTCATTATTCTCACTGATTCCTAATTATGAATTATTTGATAACGATTCTTGTGAAATATTGTCTACTAACGAATCAAACATTTCTTTCGTCAGTGATCATGGCGATTTTAAAATTCGACGCCGGTCACCGGTGACCGACGCGGGGCGGTCAACGCGTTGACGCGAGGATCATCGAGGTGCAATGTTCAGTAGGGAGAACCCGTTTCAATTAAGAGCGACGATGCGCGCGTTTACAACAGTATTTCTTATTTAAAAGAAGAAAAAGAGGAATTAGAAATTGATGAATAAATACCTTCACGATACCCCGATCCATCGCAAATACTTCTCCTTAACACGCGCCGAGCATAATATAAATTACAAGTAGAAATCACGGTGAGACGAAAAATAATCGCAGCTCATAATTTAGAATAAATCTGCGGTGGCAACGAATGCGAGGGAATCGATCGACGGTTCGGTGCGGATCAATCGATCCCTTGTAATCTCGAGTGTCGAGATCATTCAATACGGGGAGCCGTGTTGTTTTTCGATCGTGGTCTCCCCTCCCCTTTCTTTTTTCACCGCACACATTATATGTACGCACGCGTTATAAAACGTGATGACTCGATACGTAATTATCAAACACGATCGCATTTAATCGAACCATTCCGGAGCCGCACCGTTGCAGATAGTATTTATTAGAGTGGCGAATAACTTCTCAAAGAACTTACGCGCGCTAATTCTTAATCGGTTAATTGTACTTATTTATCTCTGTGTATTTTAGACGCCTGTCACCTCTTTTCGTTTTAATCGTACTATCAGCGAGTTTGTAATGACGATATTAATACTAGAACTGGGTGAAACGTTTGTTACGTCTGTTTCTTAAAAAAATATTAAAACATTCGACGGCTTGAAACGACCCGTTCAGGATTCCTTCTTTTACAAATATTTGGAAGGGACGACGGTACTTATCGAACTGTCCGTTGAGCAAACTTATTTATCGCGAAGTTTCCACCGGCGAGCGCGGCCTCGTCGCTTCTATGGGAAAGTGGAAAGCGATTCGATGATTCGGTGGTTCTAGCGTTAACGTCGGCATTTCCCGGGAATTTATTGGCCACCCTGAATTGATGTCAGTATTTCGTTTTATCGTTGACCATCGGCCATTTCAGTCGCAGTCGCGAAGTCGATCCGATTTTCCCTGTACCGAGGAAGTATGGCGAGCGATGAATATTTCGTGTCGGATCGTTTGTCCCTTTCCTCGGATCTTCTATTTTAAGAGGCTGCCGCGAAACACCGAAGACAGATTCGTTCGAGGCTTCGCGAAGCAACGACGGCATCCGAATCAGCCATGGGCATTAACTGTTTCGAATAAAGGGAAAAAGGAACAAGTCGGTCGCGTTTCAGGAACAATCGGCAGAAGGCAACCTTGTTTTAACGCTAGAACTGCCAGACTGGTTAAGTCGACTTATCTTCCGAATGTTTCAGTTGTAAACGCGCTATCGCGAGATATTGAAAATGTCAAGTATTATCCTAATTTCTGTGGATCATTAGCGATAAGTCGGTAACGATCGCTCGGTAGTTCTAACGTGAAATCCAACCGAAATCTCGTTTCGATTAAAACAGATGGAATGTGCGACGTGGAAACGCGCGATTTGCAAAGCAAATAATTCTATGCATACCAATCTGAAAAGAAATGGTAATTCCAAGGCAGCTGTTTGCACGGTGATTTGAAAAGAAACTGGGAATCGCGTTTCAAGGATTCGATTGAACCAGTGCCCAGGTCTGATCCGACTATTTCGACGGCTTGTTAATTATTGTTAATCTACTCGCCGTTCAGTGAATCCTCGGCATAGGCGAATGAATTTGTTAATGGTCCTCTGATCGTTGTACAAGAATATTTCAACGGATAACGCGCACAGTATGGACAACGATACGAATTTGTCATGAGTATGTGGGGAATATTATATAAACGTCAGAAGTAAATAAATTTTTATTCACTTTTAAGACGGTCTTCATTCTGCCCCGTGCACCCGGCCCGATCCACGTGCGGTTTCATTCAAGGAACGGCGAGGTGCTAACGATTCAACCCTTTCCCACTGTTTGTTTTCATTATCGTGTCGAAGCAATAATCCAGCGAGATGTTTCCGTCGAAGGGAAAATTCCTCTGTATCTGGAGGAAATATTGAACTCCACGATTTATTACGTTTTCCGAAATTTCAGTTATACATTGCTTAGAAAGTGCACTGATTTTTTCAATGATAAACTCAGTTATCGGGAAGATCAGGGATCTCGATCCGATTCTGTTCTCCAGTCGATACCACAGCGCACTGTGACTTTATACAGTGATTTTAATTACAATTTAGACAATGACTTTCAGGTAAACCTTCAGTCACGAATGATTTTTCCCTGAGTTCCCTTGAAGACGCGTCTTTAGTTCTACTTTGTGATAACGCTAACAATGATGACTCGGATTTCGCTGTTAAATGGTAGCGGCGAGGGGTTAAAAGGCATTCCAAAAACTTATTAAATGCAATATAGTTTCAAAATTCCCTTAACACGTTCGCTAGCGTCACATATTTGTGACGGCCGTAATCCTATGTTTTACATGATAATGAAATAAATCCCACGCATATTAGAAATTATCAACTACGTTATACTTAGAATCTCAATGACTCGTTTCAATTTCATTTTTCTATTTACAAGATTAATTAGATTGAAGAAAGTATAATTGAAGAGACCGTTGCCGAATTAAGCGCCGCAAGTGAACGCGTTAAACGCGTACGAGTTCAATCTATTTATCATATTTCGGTGGTTGATAACTCGTTTCAGCTTCATTTTTCTATGATTCCATTTAGAAGATTAATTGGATAGAAAATATAATTGAGAAGACCGTCGCCGAAACAAGCGCTGCAAGTGAACGTATTAAACTCGTACGAATTCAATCTGTTTATCATATTTCGGTGGTCCTCCGCGTCCATTGGGGGCTCGCCGCGTAGCCCACAAAGGAGCGTAATCCCGCTTTCACAGACTCCACAATCTCGGCGCGATGTTCCCCCGGCAGAGCGAGAAGGACACGGCGAAGGGATCGAGAGATGGTCCGCGGCAGCGGAGGGAGCGGGAGGATCCAAGCGCAAAGACAAAAGCAAAGAACCCGGGGACTATCGAGTGATTCGGGGAGAGTTTGCGTGCGCCCATGGGCGGCGCAACTCGCGGCAGGTAGTTTTCCAAATGGAGTCTATCGGCCAGAGAGTGGAAAAAAGTAATCCGTGAAAAGGGGTTCGTTGTTACGCCGGTCTGGCGCGGCGTTGCCGGCTCTGCCGGGAGCGAGATGCACAGCTGGACGGAGTCGTTTGCTCCAGAGCCGAGAGGATACGAGCCCGTTAAACGATCTTCGAACTCCGTCGAACGACTGTCCAAAAATGCAGTTCGATCTGTTTCATGTTACAGAGACTCTAACGATTTCATACGTCCAGATTTCAACTAAAATAGTTTCGAAATAGTTCTGCTAAACGAACTTAGTAATTTGAGGATAACGTAGCTTCTACGGGATTGCCGTTTAACCCTTTGCCGGAAGTTTTTCATTGGAAATATTTTAAGATTTTCTGATGAGATAGAGATACTTTGTGAAACTAACTCGACGAGAAATCATACTTATATTGAAGGACAAAGCTATTATATTTGGATATTTCTCGAATTGCATTATACGAAGTTTAATATTAAGTATCGAATTTTACAGTTTTGGATGAAATCAAGTGGTGAGGGTCACCTCTCGAGTGCAAAGGGTTTCAACGTTATTTCATAATTATTGATATCAAAGCATTGAACATTCGAAACGATCTCGAAAGTAGTTGAATACTATAACGAATGTCCGAAGAAACAGATGATAATCAATAATTACAATTTTCATATTGATTACATATTAATCGTACTAAACGCTCGGCAGTTGCAGCGTTAACGGAGGAATATTCGAATAGCGGAGCAAGGTGTACACGCCTAACGGTAGAGGCAGTAAACGGTCGAAGAGTAGCGGAGCCTCGTATCGACGAGAGAGCGAGCGCGTCGCCGAGATTCGAATCGATTTTCAATCGCGGTGCCGTCGGAATCGAGACGCGATCCGTCGAGTCGCCTCGGAAGCGGAAGCTGGGAAACGCGTCCGCGAGGGCTGCTAGCGGAGAAACCCGAAATAGGTCATTTCTCAGGATCCGGCCAGCGCTAAATACAAAGTTGCTCGTTCGTTCTGCCCTCTTGAGGTGGCGGTGGCGGCAGTGTTGCCAGACGGGAGTAACCATGGCGAAGGACCCTGTTTATGGGGGTTCCGCGTGTAGGCCGGCGAGGGGGTGCGGCGAAGTGCGGGGGGAGCCGGCTCCGACGGGAACGAGCGAGAGAGAGAGTCATCTGCCGGTCGAAGGGAGACCGGCGAGCGCGCGGACCGGGCAGGGGTGGCGGACCAATTAAATATGGCGGCGGCAGTGGGGTGTGGCGCTGGCGCATGCGCAGCGCCGCTTCCAGTTGGGGGGACAAGAGCCGCGGACAGAACGGGGCAGCAACGAGAAAGAACCGGCCGGCGAGCAGAGGGATCGACGAGTACCCGGCGTACGTTTGTGTGGTGCGCGGCTCCTCTTCGAGAGACGATAAGTCTGTCCAGTGTCGCCCGAGAAGTTGTATACCTTCGTTCGTTCGGCCCGCCCGCTCGCCCGCTCGCCCGCTCGCTTGCACGCACGTCACGAGGAAGCGTACTTGTATTCCGAACCCGAGTACCGGTCGAGGCCCGCTGCGTGGAAAAAGTATAAGTCGGCATGACGATGGCAACGGAGACGGAGAACACCGGCCCGGAGAGCAAGGAGATTAAGGACGTGAAGGAGATGAAGGAGGCGTTGAAGGACGAAACGCCGCCGGACAACAAGCAGGAGGAGAAAGACGCCGCGAAGAAGGAAGAAAGTGGGAAAAAGGAAGAGACCGGGGACGCCGCGGCCACCGCGGCATCGCCGGCGCCCACCAAGGCTATCAGCGTGCACAAAACCAACTTCGAGAAGGACATTGTTTATCTGTATCAGTTCCCCCGGACGCCGGTCCTGCCCTCCCTCTCGCCGTACTGTCTCAAGGTGGAGACGTGGTTGCGGCTCAACGGCATCAAATACGAGGTGAGTCCTCATATTCTCTTTCGACTTGGAACCGTGCGGACTCGAACGCGGGTTTCGAACTCGGCCGCGTACGTTCCTCGGTTAATGGGAACAACGGATGATCGATGACGGGTACAATGCTCCCGGGCGTCGCGTTTCTTCCGGGTGAGTCCCTTCGACTTTCGTATCGAGTCCGGACGATTTCGCCTCGACGTCGACGGTGGAGCACGCACGGTTTTATTCGAGCTCCGATCCGACGTGCACGCAGAAAGGCACAGGAGGTGGATCCTTTTCCCGATTATTTCAAAATGGCGACCCTTGTCAACCTCTGTGTACCCCGAGCAGTATTTAAACGCGCCTCCGCCGCGTTCGCGTGCGCTCCCCGATACGTCCGACGCCGCTCGTCGCTCGTTCCTATCGCACGACCGATTTACGACGGTTATCTCGATGAAGGATTTCCCCGGTCGAACCCGGTGCTCCGTACCGTGTCGACTGGGCGCGAAAGCCCGGTACAACTTCTTCTTCTTCCAGCTTGGAACGTATAGAGCTTTCAGCTTTCATATTTACCGTCCATTCTTCGCGCTCGGACCTTTGTGTCCCCGGGTATTCCCCGGCGAGTATACCCAGTGACCTTTGCGTTTCGAACTTCCCGGAGACAGAGTGCACTGTTTACACCCGGGGTTCTAGAACCATAACACGTATATCCGAGGTGTTCGACCGAATCGATCTAGCGTCACGATCGTCGGCGTCGTTTACACGGAATTTCTCGTTCGAGCCTGCCCCGACGTTCGCGACGCTGGCAGAAGTCGTCTCGCCATAGATCGCGATCAGCCGGACGAGAACGAGTTCCATTAACTTCCATTATTCGTAATTTCGAGGTAACAATTAGCGGTCGCGCTCGCGCTTGCGCGCGCGATTTCTCCTCGTTTTCCATCGTAAAATTTGATATCCGGCCGGGACGCGAGCGCGGCGGAGAGGGCACGCAATCGAAAAGCATGAAAATACATTTTCTCGCGAAAGAGGTGAAAGGCCCAGCGGCGGCACGCATTCCTACGGACTTTTAAAACGGGTTCCCCGGTGGTGTGAGTGTTCTGTGTGTATATGTGTGCGTGCGTGTGTGTCGCGTGGGGAGCACCGAGGCAAGGGTAGCTCGTTGGAGGGCTTCCAAGTTGAACAGAGCAAAATGCCCCCGTAAGCCTTGATCCTGCGCGTTCCGTTTTCGGGGAGATGGAAAGACGCCATGCGTGCACTCGCACACGGGCTCTAGTGTGCGTGCGTGCTTTTGGCGCACACCGTACCACGCCGCAACGCACACCGCCTTTGCCTCGGCTCATTGTCAGCTCGACGGGATTCACGCGTCAACCGAGAGTTGGCGTTCCACTAAAGCCGCGCTCGTACCGCCGTTCTACGCGTGTTTTTCTGTCGCCGAACGGACGCGACGCAAAGTCTGCGAGCGTTCCCCGTGTATTCCACTTCGCGACGCGTCGAACATGGCCGGTGATGCCTACGGACATCAATGCCTACGGAGTATCAATTTCCAGCCACAATTTACATTTTCATCGAACAATTTGATTTTTTCTTTTCTTTTCACACGCCGCACAAAAGTAAAAAGAGCTTGTTCAGCGTCCTAACCTCTATACCTTACAGTTTTTTTAGACATTGTTTAGGTCTGTCTGAGAATGTTTTATAATATTGAAATTAACACGTTCATCTGTACCAGACATATGGTCCAATATTGAATCACGTCTCGAGACTCGCGTGCAATATTCCCTCGGTGGTTTGACGTCTTATGCGGTTACCGCTTAAAACAGTGGTTCTCAAACCTCCTTGACGCACTAGACGTGCGAATATTTTACTAAGTACAGTTTGTAAATCTATCAAACAATGGGTTTACGCATTAATATTCACACGGTAGAAGCGTGAACTTCGCTGGGAATTTAAAATTAGTTTTAAATCTCTCGCGGTGCACGGGTTGAGCGCCACTGGCCTGCACGCAGGCCAGTTACACTCGTTTCGGGAAACGATACGCGCGAATCGATATCGCCGTGGCCCGTGGCCCGCGAAAAGATCTTTTCTTCCACGATGGTGAAATCGGTGTCGTCCCGCTGTATTTTTAGTGCCTCGCCGCCGGAACGGACGCGAGATTATTCGTTCCGAGATACAGTACACTTTCGCTTGTTTTCAAGACGCTCCTGGGTCACGGTATCTCTCGGCCGTCTCGCGGCTGTTTACGCGCGTCTCGTCATAGATTTATTTATATCGACGTAAGGGACACGATACAAGTCGCGCGCGCGATACACGTTCGAACCGCTCCGGCCACCGGTGTCCGACGAGCGAATCTCCGTCGGGTCGTCGGTCACCGATGACCGACGCGTTCAATCGCATCACACCGCGTGCACACATATTCCAACCCATTTATCGCGTTCACAACGGCGTCGGTTCGCAGTTAACGTAAAACACCATATATGGAAAAAGTTCCGGCGACGCGTTAAAACAGTGACTCTCATATCTGCGCGAAGCTCCACTGCAAGCGGGGCATTCGTATTTTTTCATCGGTATCTCGCCGCGTACATATCTGCACCGATTATAACCTCTTTTCCCTTCGTTGGAAATCGCGCAATGTTTGTTTCCTTTCCGATGTAGTACGCATATGCAAATGTATGACGCAACTGTATCGTACGAGACTTTCGACAAACGAAAATCCGCTCGTGTTCCGGTTGCCGCCGAGCGGGGGCTCGTGACGAAGTATAAATATGTACGTCTGTCGGAACGAATGGAATTTCCGTGGCACCGAGATATCGCCACTTTTGAAATATTTTCGGTGAACCCTCTTTTCCCCTGCTGGCCTGCCCGCGCCGTTCCTTTTCATCTGGTCGCTTCTCCGACGTGTTTGGGGGTCTTCCACGACATCTGTTGAACATAACCTCTTTCTCCCCCACGCCACACCCCCGCCCCGTCGCCCCTCGGCCGCAACGGGACCAGAGATAATGTTTGTAGAGGGTTCGGAAAACAGATTTTCAGCAGTCCGATGTTCTCTGGCTAATCCCCGATCTGTCCGCGCCGTTCTTTCTCGATAACGGCGACAGTTACGGCGTCCGGCCGTGACGTCGCGCTCGAGCGGTGTCCGAGCCGACCTAACCTCCAAAAAATGCGTCTCGTCTCTGCGCCGACCTTTCGACGACTCCACTCCGGTCGATTGAAATAAATTCGGATTATATTTCTGACGTGTACGATGATTCTTGTACATTTTTCTTTTTCTTTTTCGGCAGTTCGGGGCGTGGCCTTGTTTCGGCTATTTTCGAGCACCCCATGGGACAATTGTGCTTTATGTAATTCGGTCGTGATTGTCGACCGTTACCGACGCCTCCACTTCCGGTACCCGCTTGGTAACCGCGTCGTCCCCCGACGCTGTTGTAATAATTAATATAATAACGTTATATACGTAGCGATTAATATAATAATTATAGTTTATTTGATCAATTACGTTTCGCTCGTCGCTTGCTGATACTTTCCCGTCAGTTATATTTCATATGTAAATTCGCGACGCATCTTTCATTTGTAGCTCAATGAAACGGAGACAATAAATCACGTTAGGTTTTAAGGGGTCATTGTAAAGGGACTCCGTAATTCAAATCGACGGTATATTCAGTTTTCAGAAAAAATGACGCTGGAACAGATGGGCCAAAATGACCATTCCTGATTTCTTTTTGAAATAATGAAATATTGAAAATTGAGAATAAATATTAAATTTTAATATTAAATGTTAAAAATTGAGAAAACAAGTTCTCTGTGGAATCACTGAAGAAATTGTTATTGTAATAGGCAGACAATTATAAATTAGTCAGAATCTCAGTAGATCCACTTTTAAGGTTTCTATAAAAAAATTAGAAAAAGGCAATTCGATTGGGTAGTTCTATCGTTAATGTTAACCTTTGAAGTTTTTCGAGGATGGGTTGTAGCAGGATTCGAAGGTCGGAAGGAATCGGAAAATCTTTCCTTTGTTCTCTGCCGGAACACCGGAGCGATTCGAGTCCGGAGGCTCGAACGATTCGCAGATTGCATTCCCATATAAAGAATCACGGCAAAAGTCCCTTTCGTAACGGACGCTTGTTCCAATAGTAAAGCAGCAGAACTGAAACAAAAGAGGAAGTTCCTATTGAACTAATCATTACCAAGATAGGTATAAATAACGCGCGGAGTGGGCCGGATCAATTGGCCGACTTGACCAATTTTGCCCCGGTGCGGAACGGTGGCCATGTTTCACTTAGAAATGCTTTCTACGCGCGTCGGAATTCTCTCTCCGTTCTTGACCTTTTGCCCCTCGCCGACGAAATACGTTTCAGACTTTTCCCTCCACCCTCGTATTGTCCTCGACAATATTCCCTAGACAGTCTATTAACCCTTCGCGCTCGAGAGGTGACTCTCAGTCAACGTTTCATTTGGTGTAACAAAATTACGAAGTGTCGTATATAATATTAACCCTTTGAACTCTGTACGCTCTAATATTGCACCAGTTATAGTACATATATTTTAACGAACCTTAAAGAAACTACTCTAAAATTATTAGATTCTCCATACATCAAAATTTTGCAGAAAATAAAAGATGGACGCAATGTAATCTATAAAAATTAATTCTATAAAATCTATATAATGTCAATATATCAAATATTTATATAACATAGCTGTTTCTTAATTTACATATGTTATTTAATTTCTCATTAGTTCGTTTCAAATTGTTTCGTCTATGTCTCATCGGAAAATATCGAATGTTTCTAGCGATAAACTTCCGAGCGCACAGGGTTAAATAAACATTCAATACATTCCGCGCCACCGGAAGTTCCGGTTATATCTTGCTTACAAATTGCACGAATGTTTCGAATAAAATATTAAGTAACGTTCAAGTTTTTGGTAACTTTTATATATATTCTCATATCGTCTTACGTTTTACCATTTCACAAATGGTAATGATATTTCCAATAAATTCAAATATATCATTCCTCGATTACGCGTCGAATCAGAAG